TGCAGCACACTCGTGACTGGGCGTGAGTAGGAGACAAGGGTGCAGGCGGCGGGGCCCTTTTGTCAACCCACTTGTGTTCACCCAGATGAGAGCTACGTGGCCCTCCTCAGTGCCGTTGGATTTCCAACGGTAAAAAAAATTTAAATTTGACTTTTAAAATTGACTATCCGATCATAGATCAACGGTCCATATTTTTTCACAAAAAATAAAAAAAGTAAAAAAAAGGCCCAACGGTCAAAATTATGACCGTTGGCCACGTGGCAAAGCCTTAGCTCTTGGATTTGAATATTTTTCAAATCCAACGGTCCAGATTAATTAACCATATTAAAATTTATTAAAAATTTTGAAAAAATACAGAAAAATTATTTAAAAATATAGAAATTTAAAAAATATATGTATAGAAATTTTTTTTAAAAAGTTATTTTTTTTTCTATAAATACCTAACCCTCATCTTCCACCTTACACCACATTTCAATATTTTCTACACTTTCTACCAAAGCTTTCATATACTTTTTGTGTGAAAAAAAAAAATACCAAAAAGCTCATCCTTAATTTTTTTTTTGTCCATATAAACCATACATCCCTACATCCATCTTCATCGTTTTCAAATCTTGAGTTTTTTTTTTTTTTACAATGTCTTCTTCAAGGAGAGTGCATAAATAATTTGTGGAGCAACAGAAAAGATTGTTGGCACAACAAGAAGAATTGATTAATCTCGAGGAAGGTGGAGGTGGAGATGAGGCTTTCGCAATGGAGGAGGACTCGGATGATGACCATAGAAGGCAGAGGGCCTCACATTCCCACCGTGTCATGGAACCTGTATGTCAGATAGCCAAACCTAGATGTGTTGCAAACTTCGATAGAAAAAGGAAAAGACGAGGTAAAGATCTCTTGGAAGATTATTTTATTCCCAACATCGTATTCCCTGATCATGTTTTTAGACGTCGTTTTATAATGCAACGAAGTTTGTTCAACAAAATCATGAGTGCTATTCGCAACCATGATCCATATTTTGTGCAAAAAGATGATGCTTTTCATGTTCTAGGTCTTCTTCCAGAGTAAAAAATTACGGCTGCCTTGCAAATGCTTGCATATGGAGCATCTACAGATCAAGTGGGTGAGATCGCGAGGGTGGAAAAACAACTATTCTGGAGTTTCTGATGCGGTTTTGCTCTGCACTTGAAGCCCTGTACACCAATGAGTACCTCCGAACACCCACGCCAAGGGACATGCGAAGGCTTCTGAGGAAGGGTGAGATGCGAGGCTTCCCTGGCATGATTGGAAGCATCGACTGCATGCACTGGACTTGGAAAAACTGTCTAAGTGCATGGCAAGGAGCTTATGGCAACAGAAAAGGAGCCAAAAGTATCATTTTGGAAGCGGTGGCTTCATTTGATACATGGATTTGGCATGCTTTTTTTTGGTGTTCCAGGAGCTCAAAATGACCTAAATGTCCTTGCTCAATCTCCAGTGTTCGACGATCTGTTGCAAGGAAAATCACCCAAATGCACATATTGAGTTAATGGGACTAAATACGACGGATCATACTACCTTGCAGACGGTATTTACCCAAGGTGGGCTATGTTTGTCAAAACAGTGCCACATCCACATACTGAAAAAGAAAAACACTTCGCAAAATGTCAAGAGGGGTATAGGAAGGATGTGGAACGTTGTTTTGGCATCCTGCAAGCTCGTTGGGCGATTGTCAGGGCTGCAGCTAGAATGTTTGATGTCGAGGCTATTCGATTCATCATGATGACCTGTATTATTCTCCACAACATGAAGGTTACGGCTATGCTCTACCACCACATCATGACCCTAGCATGTATGCTGCAGCTTCGGCTGCATATGGAGCTTATCCGGTGTATGGCACCCACCAACAACAAGTAAGCTGAGACAGCAGCTCCTGTGCACGGTAGCAACCTACCAACAGCGAGGGAACCGAGTAAGCTGCATAAGTAGTTTAGAAATCAGACTCAATGGATCTATAATTTGCTCGGTTCTCTAGAATTCTTATAAATCCCTCTAATTCTGGAGTGGAACTGAATTTTGATAACTTGAGGTAGTTATGCAAGGATTTCATTGATCATTTCTTTAGATTTACGTAATTTTTAGGGAAACTATTATTCGATCAGTACAGGGCCTCCGTGAATTGAAAATGTGCGAGATAATCTTTAGCATGCTAGTGCAAAGTTGCACTTGTGTTATGTTCTACACCGGGCTGCAGTCGCGATTTTAGGGTGAAGGCCTGAACAAGTACTGCAGAAGGCCTTCCCACAAATGGAAGGCAAATTTGAGAAAGCATTTTTTAGCATGCTTGTCTAAGGTTGCATGTTTTGTTGCCACACTACAAGTTCTTTTCTTAGATTCACTTGCGTTTTTTCTTCCAATTCATTCCAAAAGTATTTTTACCAAAAAATGCTTTCAGTAATTTTAAACACGCTTATGAGCACTTACTCCTCAATTAAACTTGTTGCGGTATTCCACTACCCTGCCATGATGGGATAGTTGAAAATAAAGGGTTTATGGTAAATGTAGAATTCTCTACAATCCCACAATTCTCAATATACTACTTCAATTCTTTATTCTTCTCAATAAGGAGGTATTTATAAGATTACAAGGGAGCAATACTAGGAAATAAATCAAAACAATCCTTTGTCAACAAGACATGGAAACCTAGACCACATCAAATTATATCAAACCTAATTAAATCATATAAAATCACTAATTAAATCATATCCCCATTTTGCCATTTAGTATTACGGTTTAGTAGTATTCATCTTCATTGGTAAGTGAGAGGTATTAAGTTCGATTCTCGCCAAAACCGAATTTAAACCACAAAAATCCTTTTTATTTTCCAACGGGAATAGCTTGTGGGCTATGGAAAAATTGAGAAATGGTAACTTGGATCCCAAAGACTTCAATTAAGTCACCTCCAAAGGGAGGAAAACAACACAATCTCTCTAAATTTTACTACAATCATCTCAAGCACTTACTAACTTGAGCCTCGCACTATCTTTTCCACAAACACTCCCCTCGTTCTCTCCTTGGTGGCAAGCGAAGATTGGAGGACCCAATTTTTATTTGCTCGAACATGAGTTTTATGAGTTGGATTATCTATCACTGAACTAACTACATACAGTAAACATGACAAACCAATACATATTTAATAAATAACCAAAAGTGTTTCTATAGAGTTTAACAGAAATTATTTAGAATGCGCTTTGTTTTTGTTAAACGTTTCAATGTGCTTATGGCAAAGCGCATCCAATAAAAGTACTTCTGACACATAAGTGCTTTTTGGAGAAACATTTTCAAATGAAATAATATGTGTGGCATGTGTTAGTGTTAATAATAATTGTCAACAACCATCATCATCATCATCATTGTGCAGGACCCAGTTTTATATTTTACTGCTCACATCGACGTACGATCATGCCATAAACAGACTCAATTCTAAGTATCATGAGGCGTAGTGAAAAAGCACACAATAACAAATTGAGGTGGCAGGTGTTGGAATCTTGGGGCGCACAACACCCTTCGGTTGGGTTGGGCATTCGGGACACATGGGGAACCAAAATTTAGCACAAATTGAAAAATGAATTATGCAGATCTCTACTTAATTCTTGCAGTAAAATGTGGCTAAATGTTGTTTTGATCACCTCAAAGAGCTGTTGAACTTGGGTTTGTCAATATAATTGTGATGATACTCACAATTTGTCATAATGGTTTTTGGCGTGAGGATTTCGAGTGTTGTCTCGTATCGAAAATTAAGAAATTTTGCTTAATTAATTTTAGGGCTTGAAGTTTAATTTTTTTAAAGAATCACAGCATGTTCGTCCACGTGTGAAGTTTGACTATTAAACGTCAGAAGATGTGTGAGAGTGTAAATTATTTTCTCTACTATCACAAAGTTTAAACACCTTACCACATACAACTTTTCCCTTGCGTTTGTATGCCGTAAAAGTAGAGGTTAAAAATAAAGGGGTGTGATATCCACACCTTTTTTTACTTTTCACACATTTTTCTAATTTTCGATCGTCGGATCAGATGAATTGAAGAAGATCAATAGATATAAATTAATAAATGATGTGTGAGAAGTAAAAAAAGATGTGTGAATAGCACATCCTAAAATAAATCATATCCTTCGTGCAGCTCATAGCTCCAAAGACAAGCACATGGCAGGAAGCTGATTGGCCGATGCCCGGAGGAATTCCACAGCCATGTGACACATACCACCAAGAACTGCCACGAGTCATACGACCCTCCCTAGCGGCAAGAAAATTTTCTTTGTAGTTAGAATACAGATGATATATCACGTGTTATTATATAAATGATGGAAAGTTTTTTTTTTAACTGTTAATTTTTTAACACAAATATTTTACCACTTATATAATGACATGTGTATATTACCTCGTGTTACAGACATATTGAGAATTCTCCCCGGCAGCCCTTTGGTTAGTAAGAGGCATTTGTGAAGTGTGATGGGAATACGGCAAACGGAACACAAAATGTCATAATACAATTCAATGAATTTCTTTTTAGTTTCCAACAAATTAAATCTCGTTTGAATGTGCTTTTAAAATAACTGAAAGCGCTTTTGATGAAAATACTTTTGAAAACTATCCTTGGTAAAAATGTTAGTAAATCTTGGAAAAGCACTTAAAGTGCTTCCTGGGAGAAGCACATAACTGGTGGTTCTTGTAGAAAACACTGAAAGTGCTTTTGGAACTAAAAAATAATGTCTCTAAAAACTCTTTCAGTCATTTTAAAAGCACATTCAAACGAACCCTTAATATTTTTTCTCAGACAATATTATCTCTACTAAAGGGTACGAAAGTAAACTAAATCTTACAATGGCTAACTCATCGAATGTATTATTCCAATTGTTGTACCGGATTGTGTACCTGACAAATCTCTCAGACTTATCAGAAGATTAAGAATAATTAAACAAAATTAATTACGTAAGATCTTCTATTACTTAATATGGTAATGGGCTGTCGAGGGGCAATCTCTCTCTCCAACACGTTTCGAATGGCACACCTTTGTATTTCCTCTCTCTCTCCTCCTATTTCCTACTCACCTTCTTGTCCGCCATTTCACCGGCGAATCTTCGTCGTTGCTTCCAGGATCCACGCAGCCTCCGCAACTTCCACCTCCATTTCACACTCGCAGCCGAAGGTCGTCGTCACCAGAGAGCGCGGCAAGAACGGCAAGCTCATCGCCTCCCTGGTACGCAATTCTCTCCTCCTCTCTCTCTACCTCTGTATCTGCCATTTTTTCCTGTGATTTTGCTGAAATACTGGAAATTTAGCTGTTTGTGCTGCGTTGGATTTCTGGGTTCTACATTTTGTAAAGGTACTCTGTTGCCACCCTCTTTCTTGCATTTCGAATTTGATCTCGTGAAATGTGAATTACTCTGCATTTACTGTTTCAGTGGTAGTTGTCAAAATTGTGAAAGAATTTGGAATTTTTTTCGGGCTGCGGTTTAACTTTGAATTACCAGCTAGGTGTTCGATGAAATGCGAAAGTGATTGGCTGTTTGCGGCATTTTGTTCTTCAGCATTTGTAAATCATCAATTTTTATTTTTTTTTCTATTTCCACCGTTTTTCCAAAGTTTAATTCTTTGATATTCTCCAACACATTCAATTTTGAAAATAATAATCAGTAATAGTGTCAGTAGTGGTGCTTGACCTTCGACAATAACATAATCAGTCATTTTCGGCATCTAAACGCCAAATCTGATATCATTGCCCTTATTAGTCAATATGTATATGTGTGTGTGTGTGTGTGTGTGTGTATGCATGTGTATGTCTGATGTTTACATGTGTTTATGTATGTATATGTGTATTTATATGTACTTGTAGAATAGGTCGCTCTGGTGGCGTTGTGACAGAATCTTCGAAAATTTTGAGTGCAGGTCAAGCAGGGAATCAGCTGTTTGGAGCTTCCGCTCATTGAGCATACACGGGGGCCAGATCTGGATAGGCTTTCTACAGTATTAAGTGGTAAATTCTTCACCTTTCTTCTCCAATTTGTTGTTGAGTAATTTCACAGATAATGCCACTAAGTTGACCGCCTCACATTCTAGTTAGCCCCATTTTGTCCTTTGGGCCTCAAACTTCAGCTCCATGTTTCCAAATTTCTTTTTATAGAGTTTATGTTATTTCCTGTGTGTATGAAAAAAAATTTGTGGACGAAATCTCTTAATTTGATTACATGCTCACCTAGCGTAGTCTAAACAAATGTACGACTATCTTCTAACTAACTTTCTTCATTTAATGATCCTTTTTGGCTGCAGATACTACATTTGATTGGATTGTCATAACATCCCCTGAAGCGGGTTCAGTCTTCTTAGAGGCCTGGAAGTAAGGGAGAAAATAAATAAAACCCTGGCACATTTTGCATTTAAAACTTGTTCATACAAATTGGTAATTTAATTTTGTCTAAATTTTAGACTCTGTCTTGTTATTGACCTTTAGGGCTGCTGGAACTCCAAATGTTACGGTAGGGGTCGTGGGGGCTGGGACAGCAAGCATATTTGAGGAAGTAGTACAGTCATCGAAGCGATCCCTCAACATTGCTTTTGTGCCATCCAAAGGTGCGTATGAATTAGTGTAGGCAATGATGTAGTTTCATACAAAGTATATTATTGCCTGTTATGCTTCCTACAATTAATGTGAAGGTCCCAGAAAGATGAACTTCATCTTAAAAACATTATGAAAGCACTGGAGAATACCTATTAAATTAGAAACTCTCCAAACATAGATGCATTGAAGAATGAGAGGCATTGAATAATGAATGCCTGAACAAAAGTTTTTAAATGTGAAGCAAAGGTTTTCTAGAGTCCTGAGCTTGATTTTATTATCCTTTTCTTTTGTTTAATTTATGACTCAATATTGGGTATGATCTCTATGCCACTATTGATTTTGATTATTGGTCTTTTTTGTTTAATAATCGCTGTTCAGCAACCGGCAAGGTCTTGGCTTCAGAGCTTCCTAAGAATGGGAATGAAAAATGCACCGTTTTATATCCTGCTTCTGCAAAGGCCAGCAATGAGATTGGTATGTGGAATGCTTCAATTTCGATGCCTGCTTCTTTTGGATAGAGTTTTTATTGCTTTCGCCATTTTACGATTGTGCGTGTTCATGATTGCGATCTTTTATGATTGGGCATGTTCATGATTATGATCTTTTACGAGTCTTTTTTTCCTTATCCATAAATGGATAGTTATATTCGTTCCTTTACGTTTTTGGTTGTGCAACAATACATATACAATTTTGGCATTTGTAGAGTACATCACGTGATGAAGCCAAGACTTTGGTCAATGTTGTGCTGATAGCGGCTTATAAGATTATGTGCGCTGTCACTTGTCTTTGATTCACCCTTTTCATCTTGTTATATTTGTTTCAGAGGAAGGTCTGTCCAATCGTGGGTTTGAGGTCACAAGGCTAAATACATACTCAACGGTATGCTTACTCAACTTTGGCATGCAAGTGTGGTCTCCTTATATTGGTTCCATGGAAATTTTCTATGAATTTTTTTAAGTGATCTGTTATTTTTACTTTTTATTTAATGGTTCCATGAAAAATTTCTTATAGATTAATGCCAAGATATTTACACTTCTATTTTCTATACTTATTGTCGCACTTGGTGCGATAGCAAGTGCCTTCGCTCATGAGCGGTAGGTCTCGGGTTCGAGACTTGGGAGCAGCCTCTCCATAAATGGGGGTAAGGCTAGCCGACATTCACCTCTCCCAGACCCTGCGTAAAGCGGGAGCCTTGTGCACTGGGTACGACCTTTACCTTTATTGTCATCAATTGATCATCCTTTCTATGTGTTTCTGTTGGATATGATAAAACATAATTTCTCTTTCCAAGTCTTTGGTTTTGCAAATTATAGTCGTCCACCATAAAAGTTAGTAAATTTACTACATCATTCAGGATCAATAGGCATCCCTGCTCCTCTTCTTAATCATTGCTTTGCTCTAGTCTAATGTGGACATTTGGAGTTTGATATGTTTGTCTGAACCTTTGTTATAGTTGCAGGTTGACAGTTGAATGTGATATTAGCACTAATTGAGTAGGATTACTGGTTATAGCTAATGATTTATTACGGTCATAACTTAACATGTTTCTTGGAATCTTGGGATACTTACTTTTAGGGACCTGTTCATCATGTCGACCAAACAGTTTTAAAGCAGGCACTCTCCGCCCCTGTCATAGCAGTTGCTTCTCCATCAGCTATTCGGTAAGTAACCAGTTGCTTTTTGGTCTTATGAGGCATGTTGATTCTTTCCCGAAACTACTTAGAGGTATTTCACTAGAGACTATAGTCCCGATCATTAATTTTGTTTTTCACTATCTGTTTTCTCCAACAGTGCCTGGGTCGGTCTTATTCCAGAGTCAGAGCAATGGAGCAATTCAGTTGCCTGTATTGGTGAGACAACTGCTAAGGCTGCTAAGAAATTAGGCCTCACAAATGTTTACTACCCAGCAAACCCAGGTCTTGAAGGGTAATATTGACTTTTCGTTACTGTATATTATATCCTTTTCATCTGGTATGATGAGATGGTGAATTCAAATATGCCTCATAGTTTTCATTGTTCGGATTTTCCCCTGATGATTGTTGTAGTAGGCTACTATGAGATGCCTTCTTATATACTTTTTTTTACCTTTTTCTTTCTTAACCATTTTGTTTTGGACAACAGGTGGGTGGGTAGCATACTTGAAGCGTTGCAAGCAAATGTATGTTCATAAATTTGTAGGCGGTCTGTTTTTTAAGGTAGAATTTTCCTCCTGCGCTACAGTTTAGTAACTTGCATCCTCTTTTTTCCTGTGGTTGTATAGATTAAATAAGCCTCGTGTCTTCAATTCTGTCCCAGGCCCAGGCAGGCTGACCAGGAGATAGCCGGAGCAGAAATTGAGGCAGCAAGAACTCACAATGGAAAGTTGAATTCCCTAGTTTCCGCATAAACTAGCTGCAAAACGAGGATGTAATATTTGCAAAGAGCAGGAATGGAAGATGTCAAGATATTCAACACCCCGAGGGGATCATATTTATTAGGCAAAGCTTCTTTCTGGCCCGTGAATAGGCGATTGGATCATATGTGGAAAGAAAGCTTACTTTTGTATATGTAAACTTCGTTTACTCAATTACGCTATGCAACATCAGTTTTGCTGCTTGTTTGACTGCAGTTCATGTGTAGTAGCGAGGACACGATTATAATTCTTTGTACATTTTATTCTTATAATCAAAGCTCATTTTCGAGAGTTCTTTTGATTGTTCGTGTTTTTCACTAATGAATTCTGCTGTTTTATGGACATCGAGTACATTAACTTGTAAGTGCTGAAATTTCTGTCGCCTAAGAAAGTTTTTAACTCTTTTTTTTTTTTTTCCTATCCAACTTTGATTGTTCACTAGAAATGTAAAATAGGGTTTACAGATCAAGTACTGTGGAACCCTTGGGTATTAATACATGTGAAGTAGGGTTGTTGATCGCTCGGAACCATATGCCTGGCTCCTCCTCTGAGGAAGCTTCGCATGAAGGAAAGATAAGAACAAGGTGAGTGCTCTCTTAGATTGATCACTCGGAAGTCGGAACCATATGCGCAGCTCCTCTCACCGTAGCAAATGTCAACCGTTTGTACCCAACCATATACCCTCAACCTACGTCCAAACCAACACGGATCATGAGAAAAAACGAGCAACGTTGTTTTCTTGTTTTCGGATTAGATGTACTAATGACTATGAGTATAAATTGTGCAGTACCTCGCCGTCAGAGTACCACAGCCACCATGCAGTCTTAACAGGAAACTTAAGTTTGGAGCATTTGGAAGACGTGACTGGTACTCGCGCATCATTGTCTCCACTGCAAATTGCATTCAACATAAAATCTCGCAGGTAAGGTTCCATTATCTTCTATTAGCAACATATATGCTAAAAGTGTTTGATTCATAGAAGCTTGATCAATTCAAGGCTCTCTCACTTGTACATCCATACACTTATCCCACTTGCCATGAGCCGCTTTATCCTGGGTAGGACGGATACTGGGGAGTCCGTCCATCCAATATCACTGGAGATAATAAGAAAAAGGGTTAGAAAATGACATCCGCTTTACTGCTATTCGATCTTATGTTTTAACAGCAGAAAAACGGATCCTCAATTTAACACTAGTACTTACCTCCATTTAACCACAACATTAGCGGATTGGTTGAAGAATCATAGGGTGACTCTACAAGTATACGTAGTAGAACAATGCTCTCCCAGCTTCGGGGTCCACAGTAACATATTCTGCATGGTGATTAAAATTTACTCCTTGAGGTTGTCCTGCCAAGGCTGTAATTTATTAGCTTTCTTCGATCCATGCTGAGGTCCAGTAAACTGGAGAACAAGAAGACTCATCCAAGTGAACCCACGATTTGAAACGAGGAGGATTCACCAGATCTTCGAGAATTAATTGAGTTTTTGAGGTTGTTAATTTGGTGATTAGCATTGCATGATATGATCAAAAAGGCTTAATTTGGTGATTAGCATTGCATTATATGATCAAAAAGGCGAATTGGTAGCTGGAGAGGAGCAGCAAATTACATGCAAGTAGTGAAAGCTTCATCTTGACCAATGATCAGTTCAAGGATACCAAATTACCAATTGGTATTCACAATTTTTAATATTTCTATTGTGGGTTGAGTTGAAACTTGACGAGTACATTTACTGATTGAAAGAATATGAGAATTTTGACGAGAAGATTTATTGCTAGATTATGAAGTATTAATGTATAAAATCTGTAGAATTTGTGAATAATTGACGAGTGCATTTATGCATGCAACGTACATTTGGAGTGTTTGAATAAAAAGAGCCTACATTATAATGCTAGACACACTAAATTTTTGGGTCAAATTGGTGCACCAAATGATGTGCTACCAATCAAATTTGTACATTGATTCAAGGTGGAATTTAATTAATAGTTATAATAAAAAACACTATATATGAATTTGAAGCACCAGATCATTTGGTGCACACATTTAGTACATGAATTTGATTTATGTAGCACCACCTAGTAAAAAAGAAATTTAACAAATGATGAAGACAATTTTGCACACGTGCTAGTTTTATGTATTTTCTATAATTTTTATGTACTTTTAAATGAGACAAATCTTCCTCTTATCCATAAGCTTGTAACCAATGTTCTAAAAGACGCTAAGCGCTAGTCAGTCGGTGAGCTGGTGCTAGCGCCCAGATGGTTTTAAGTAAATTTATTATATTTCATATAAATAAATGTTTGCATATACTTTAAATATATATATATATATATATATATAATTTCATCATAAACTACAAATAGAATGATATATAGATTATGAAGTGTTAGAACATAATGAAAACATAATGTGTGTTCATTTAAGTATGCAACAAGTCTCTTACAATTTATTGAAAAAAATAAGATGCAAAATGAAAGTTATCTATTTTCTGTTTGAGTGAGTAGCAACCTAGGCGAGTGCCTAGGCTAGTCTGGGCAAGCTGGCGGGTGCCCAGGCAATCTAGGAGGACGCCTTAGCATGTCTAGACACCCTTTCTTAATTTTTAAACGCTTAGGCATTAATCGGGTGGTGGCTAGCCGCCTAGCGCTGCCTAGGCGCTAGGCGGGGATTTTTAGAACAGTGCTTGTAACAGAAAAATTGATAATATATGAAACATTTTCATCCAACCAAAATTTCAAACAACAAAAATCCCAATAGATGATATTACACGATCACCTTGGTCATTGTTTTAATTATTAAACAAAATATATATGGTTACAAATCATAATACTTTTTAAATTTAGATTGTATATATATCTGGATATTCAGATAATTAACGTAGGATTAATCAATAGCAGTAGTGCGGTTGGGAAATTGATATGATTAATTAGGAGGAAGGTGGAAGTTTCCCCTGAAGAAAAGATGAGATGAAGGTAAGTGATCGCTTTGGTTGATAGCTGGGAACCATATGACCTGCTCCTCTTATTGTGGTAAATGTCAATCCTTTGTACCCAGCCACATATCCTCCAACCTGCCAGCCAATTGTACCATAATTAAGGAAAATGTGTCTTCCCATCTTGCATGTATAATTAATGTACGGGGTTACGCTTTTGTACCATATCTACATGTTACAACATATGCTTTATCTGTTAATACTAAGTAAATTCTAAAATATAAACAAACTCATCATCTACCCATATTATAGATGTGGACTAATTGTTGACAGTGAATTGCACATTGATAAGAGGAGGGATCTTACATAAGCTTATAAGTAATTGGGCTACTTTTCATATTGTCAATTGTTTTTATGGTGATACTCAACTTGCTTCACGGTATTAGAGCAGGTTGTCCTGTGTGTATAGCCCAACGGCCCACGTGCTCCACATTGTAAAGCAACAGATTGTGTTGCAGCAATGCAGAATAACAATGGAGGTTTCAGAGAGAGAGAGAGAGAGGAATGAATTCTTGTATATTTTCTTGTTAGAGATACAATGATTACATGAACTGTTATATATTCTTCTAACTAATAAGGCTTGCTTGCACACTCTGTCACAACAATCTCAATAACCTTTAACTACCTTATAACAACCATACTAATCTATTGACACATGGCATCCTATCTAATCATTCATCTTATACTGTTATCATCCTCCCTCAAGCTTAAGAGAAGGATCACGAAGCCTGAGATTGCAGCAGTGAGTATGGAATAATGGTGCAAATAACCCTTTAGTCAGAATATCAGCAAATTGTTCATTAGAAGAGACAAACTGCATTTGAATTAGTTGTTTGGCAAGAAGCTAACATTGTAGATGGAGTTGGGATTGAAATTTGCAAGAAGGCAAATAGTTGTCTTATCTAATCAATCTTAGCAGCTGTTGTAGCAATTGCTTTATACTTAGCTTCAGTAGATTAACGAGACACTGTGTTTTGTTTCTTTAAAGACCAAGATATTGGATTGTATCCCATGAAAACAACCAATCCAGTTGTGGATCTTTTACCATTGCGATCCCCAGCCCAGTCAGCATCACATAATGCATTTAACTTCAATGCTCCTTTAACATATTGAATGCCATAATTCAGTGTACCTTTAAGGTATCTAAGTATCATTTTCACAGCCAAATAATGTGACTTCATAGGGCAATGCATGAATTGACACACCTGGTGCACAGAGAATGCAATGTTAGGTCTTGTTAATGTGAGATACCGCAAAGCTCCCATTATGCTTCTGTATAGCTCAGGATTGTTAAAGGGTACTCCATCATCCTTAAGAAGTCTGTTATAAGGCAAGCAAGGGTAGCACAGAGTTTTGATTGAGGCATTTCTATTTTTGTTAACAAATAATTGACATATTTATGCTGAGATAGAAACAATCCTTCTGCAGTCCGTGTAATTTGAATGCCAGGGGAGTAGTGTAGAGGTCCCAGATCCTTGATATCAAACGTTGTTGCTAATGCAGAAATAATTTCTTTTATGGCATCAATTGCACTCCCTATGATGATTATATCATCCACATAAAGTAGGAGAATCACCACCTCAGAACCCATATGTTTAACAAACAGTGATGTGTTTGCATAAGTGTTTTGAAAACCCAGAGAAGGCAGTAAATCTCTCATTCCATGCCCTTGGAGCCTATTTTAAACCATATAAGGACTTGTCAAGTTTACAAACTAAGGTAAAGGTGTAGATAATTCACAAAGCCATGAGGTTGTGCCGTATACACCTCTTCTTGCAAGATTCCACGCAGATTTGCATTTTGTACATCGAGCTGTCTCACAGACCATCCAAAATGTGCAGCTAATGGAAGAACAAGCCTTATTGTAGTAGGCTTAACCACAGGACTGAATGTTTAACCATAGTCTATACCTGCTTCTTGATTGAATCCTTTTGCCATAAGTCTAGCCTTGTACCTTGAAATGGTTCCAACTGCATGTCTTTTGATCTTAAATACCCACTTATACCCCACAAGGTTTCTAGTTGAGGGTAAAGGAACCAAAGACCAAGTGTTCTGAGAGTGTAAAGCTTGCATTTCCTCTTCCATAGCTTTGAACCACACTAAAGATTTAAGAGCAGACTTATATGAAACTGGTTCAATTTGAGATAAATCAACTTTTGTATTCTCAGATGTCATGGCTAGAAAAGCTTTCTTCTTTTATAATTCCATCATTTGACCTTGTTTGCATAGGATGCAAGTTTAATAGAGTTATAGGCAGAACAACTTGTAAGTTTTCTGGTTGGAATTTAGGAGCCACATGGATTGTAAAT